ATGTCTGGGTGGGGGAAAGAGGTAGTGGTGAGTGACGGTAGGAGTAGGCTGTTGTCATCTTTCCTCTGCAGCATCAACATGGTCCCCTCATTACATTGCTTGAAGATGAGCGGGGTCAGCACATAGGGAGTTTCCTGCTGCGTCCCAGGGGAGACCGGTCCCACCCACTGGGGGAGAGAAGCGCTGGTCTGAACCACGTTAGCCATGCTAAGGTCTTCCGTCCTCTTCTTCTTTGGGTGCTGTAGCGAAGGGGAGGTGGGGCTTGACCCATCTTGTGTGGCTGCAGTAGTGTTCCCATCATTTCCTTCCGTCACAGGTGACTTTTTCTTTTGCTGTTCTTTATGTGCATTTTTCAGCGGCTCTTCACCGCCTTCAGTAATCGCCAGAGGGGTTGAAGAGCCTTGATTTACCAGCGGTTGGAAAAGAGGGTGACCGTCTGTTTTGTTCCCTGGCTTGAGAGGTCCAGGGATAGAGTTGCCCTTCGGGATTGGGGAAACTGTTCGCCACTCGATTCTACCTTGGGTTGGATTTGAGGTCCTTCCACTTGGTTGGAATCCTGGGCCCTTGTTCCCAAAGGACCCCATTGGTAGTGGTTCTCTGGATGGCTGTCCCTGATCCCATCTGGGACCGGGCTTGCGTCCTGTATTACGATGTGAGGCGTCCCCTTTTCCGAAGGAGCTGTTCCAACTGTTATGTCCTCTGGATAGACCAGGGTTGAACACGTGAGGGTCATAAGTGTGGCCGAACGTGGCGGGCTGAGAAGGCTGGGAAAAGTTCCTTGATCTGTTGTCTGAGTCCGATCTGCACTCATCTGTCTCGTGGCCATTCCTGAAACACTTGTAACAGAATGGGCAATCATCTGGTTTATGCCCATGTCTGTTACAATTTGAGCACCACGGGGTGTTTGAATTAACCAAATCTGCGACCAGGTACTCCTGTCTTGTCCAGACCTTCAGACGAGGTCTGAATCTCTCCTCTGCGCTGGGGTGTAAGTGGAACTTCAGATTCCCTAGTTTGGGATCATCAGGGTCACTAATGGGGTCGAATTCGTGAATCACCTTTCCCAAAGCTGCTTCGATGCCCGTTTTGATGAAYATTGAGGCAGCTATGGGAAAGCGCATAGCCATTACCCAAAAGTTTTTTTTTTTGTCTTCTTCCCTTTTCTTCTCCAATTCCGCGCGGGGCAGCCAAGGACGAAAATACACGAAGTTCATTTTCTTGCCTTCTCTGAAATTCATTTCCTTTTTCACATTCAGTAGTCAATCCACGACTTTCAAATTATTTGCCTCATACGTCATTTGCCCTCTGCCTTCCATGTGTGTGGTGCCCTTTTGTGTGGTTAGCTCTTTTTCTGTTAGGACAGACTCTTCAAGGTATCGAATCAGGTCCACCTTCTTATCATTCGACCAGTTCTTTGTTTCTCCTTGGAAAACGATTGCTACCGTCATTCTTTTGAGGAAGTCGTTTTGGACCTAACGGATGTTCTCGTTGGGATGGACTTCGATGCAGTCGTCATCCTCATTTATCGCGGTCTCTACGAAGTCGGAGACATCTTGAGACTCGTGGTTCAAGCACCACCCCTCCATCATACCTGTGAGCCTCTGGAGTTCCTCTGCATCCATACTCGTTTGATCCTGCCCTGCGGCCATTCTATGGTGCTGGTACAGGACACGGGTAGGTAGAGATGGGGGCGAGGCCGGTACCGATTAGTGTTTGATGGCGGAAAGGGAGAGGAATAGCTGCCCGTGGAGTACTGGGGGAAGGGGAGCGAATGGCAACCTGATGGTGATGAATACAGGATTGATGGGTTAGGGAATGGCTTTGACGGTGTCAAGGCATTCCACTACCGCGTAGTAAGTGGCAGGCGGTGGGGGAGGAAGCGACGGGGGTGGGGCATCCAGCGAATGTATGTCGGGGGTGTTGATGGGGCGGCGGGTAAGTGGGTGTCAGGCAGCACGCAGGTGGGTGTCTGGGGAGGTAAAGTATCTTTTTGGTGGTGCCTGAGTCTTGACGATCGCGCGGTCTGTAGCGGAGAGGAGTGCGGGATTAGTGTCGGGGATAGAAGGCGAGGGCGGAGATCGGCCGTGAATGCTGTACTGGGAGCGGCGGGTGAGCCAGATACAGAACGTAGTATCCGGGTGAAGTGAGAGTGTCCGGGATAGGGGGTGAGGGTGGAGATCGGTAGTGAATACTGTATTGGGAGTGGCGGGTGGACCGGATACAGAACGTAGTATCCAGGTGAAGTGAGAGTGGGTAGCGGGGACGGGGCCGGTATTAAATCAGCGGGAAAGAGCGAAGGTTCGGGAGAATTGCGAGTTAGTCTACCTAAAAGGACACGACAAATTCGCATACACGGAAGAGGACAAAAACAATTTGAGAGGGTCCAGGCGCAATTAGGTCCAGGTAGCCTTCCGTATAGCGGAGGCAAGTGTCCGGTCCCTTTTGCGGTCTAAATCCTGATTGCGAATTCCATATTCCAGGGACAGAGGGAGAGATTCCAACAACCGCTCAGTAAGGAGGGGGTGTAAGGGCAAGAAGGGCGTTGCCCGACCATATGTACCTTGGGAGGGGAAAGGGAAGTGAGAGGAGTGGGCGGAAAGGGGAGAATATTGGGGAACTGGGAACTCAGAGGAAATAATGATGAGGGTGACGAGAGAGGAGGTTGGAAAGAATCGCCCAGGAGAACAGCCTCAAATACTATTCATGGGAAATGACATAAGTAATGAAAGGCGAGAGTTGGGAATAATTGCATAGGGAAAGTTGAGGTAGACCAGATTCCGTTCCGAGGGGAGGTAGAGGCAGGCATTGGGTCCCACAGCAGCTTGGCTCCAGGTCGAAACCAACGAATGTCCAGATCCGATGAAGAGGAGAACTCTTGATGCAACAAATGAATTTACCAAAATAGGGTTCCACAACTCCTTGGACTAGTGGAGGGAAGCGGAAGTGATGAGATCTCACCAGAACAAGATGTCTGAGATGATGTCGCGACTTTTTGTGGAGGAAAAAGGACTGTATTGTCGCCTCCGAGGAGTCATTGGCCAGGTTACCAATCCGCATCTGGGTAGATTCCTGTAGCGGAACGCTCATCGTCGAGCGTTACGCTGGTAATCTGGTTCGGTCTGGTGTAGAAGACTGGCGTGGGCCGGGGAAGGTGGTCTCCCAAGGTGACCGCCTCACCACGGTAGAAAAACACTCGTGATGAGAAGTGGGCCGTGACCTTCTCGCTTTCACCATTCCGTGGTGAAAGTGGGATAGCTATGGTGAAAACGAACCGCACTCAAAGCTCAAGCCGCACTCACAGTGGAGGCGCGACGAAGCGCCGCTGAAGTCGTGCGCCAAACCGTTCCCCCCTGGGCCCCTGTATTCCCGTTGCACTGAAGACAAAAATCATGGAGCTGTATCTTTCCATGTTCTGGGGAAGATTCACTCTCCTTTTGCACATTTGGAAATCAGTCGTAGAAACCGAGAGTGAATCTTTCGGTAGAGCATGGAAAGATACAGGGCCACTATCTTTTCTTTTTTCTTTTTTTCTTTTTTTTTTTCTATTTTTTTTTCTTCCTTCTTGTTTCTTCTTTTCTTTTTTGGAATATGGTCTGGCCCTCCGACGTGGATAATTAGACTGCAGTTATAACTCTGCCCTGCAACAGCCACGCGACGGCGGAGTTTGGACTGCAGTGTAAACTTAAGAGGGGACTGGACTCCAAAACGGCAGTTTGAAATGTATTTTCAAACTGTCACCATGACARCGCCCTAGTCTTCTCTATTCTTTAATATCGGCATTTATTCTCGTGTGCAACTCACTTCTCTGCATATAGTTGCACTCTACTCACACTTGCGGGGTGCCSCATGTCTCTTTTAGGGAGAATCKTACTCGTCACATATATAAYTSGAATGATTGTGTTTCGTATYTAGCTGTAATTGTAGGGTAGGTCYKCCCTCCCTTTATTTTCCAGCGTTAGTATGAGCAGGTTCMTTCTATAGCAACTCGGTATTCCAAAAGATGATGAAGGCTGAGCTCGCTGGCTSGATGCAAGAAAATGAGAGATATTTTATTTGAGCACATGACGCCTGGACTGCGAATGATCAGCAGATGCCCTTGGTGATTCTAGTGTGCCTGTCAGCACACGGCTATGTTGCCAAGGTGGGGGTGGGATTTCTGTTTAATTTTGTACAGTCAATCTGGGAATGTTGATACATWCAGCAGCCTACGATCAAGAGAGGGACGCAGTTTTGGAGTGACTCAGGGGGAAACTCTTGGAACTACTAGYAGCGGCGCCACCTTGAGCAGTGAGAGTGCAACAAGGGGGGCGGTGGGAACGCGACTGGTCAGGTRGTAAGTGAGAACCGGTGAAGAGCAAACTTGAGTTGCTMCCATTGTGATCGATATACTACGAAGATCCAAGGGAGCGTGGTGAGAAACCCGTCATGGCAGCTCARGCTCTTTACAGTGTGTTTTGGAAAGTCAGAATGAGCGATTCGCCCTGATGGAGAAGAGGGGATCTTGTTGGCGAGAAGATCTAGCTGGCRTATGACTTTGTCTYTGTTCCCAGGGCTTTAACAGTAGATATGGTGATGTGGAGTGTGTGTTGGTCTTGGAGTTTTYTTTTTTCCGTGTGCTGATAAAGCTTTCGAAAAACACATTCTTTGGCATCCACTCATGATAACACGACTGACTGTAGTTAGCGGCACTGTGGAGGCAGTGTGAGTGCTACCATCAGTGGTGGGAACGCTACTTGCTTGATGTTAGRAAAAGTAGGGTAGGAAGCAAACTTGAAYTGTATCCATGGTGAYCTTKGTTCATTGAAWGGTTTTGTCATTGAAGATCTAAGGGTSCGTGGTGGGAAACCCGTCTAGGCAGTTCAGGCTTCCTTGASTTCACAGCTCTGTTTMGGTTTTGGTTAAGGTTGGCCAAAATGAGTCTCCCGTCGGGACGCTGGACYCGGTTTCCAGCAACACACCRGGTAGAATTGTGAGGACCTTYTTATTCCTCACTTTAYATCTCACGGCAGCCACTTGGAGTTCTGAGTYCGGTATCTGRCCGTCTGTGAAAGCTAGGYCCTGAGGCGGATTAGAATGACTCRTATTATCGGGTCTGCTTTTCTTTTATGATTCTTTTGTTTCTCTTCTCATCTCCTATCCTCTACAATCGGGATTTWKTTTTTCGTTTCGAACTCGCACCATTGTTAAGGAGYTTTTCTCTGCTCATAGCTRCMGCCTACGATCAAGAMAGGGACGCAGGTTTARGAGTTTTAGAGTGGCTCAGAGGGAAACTCTTAGAACTACTAGCAGCGGCGCCACCTRGAGCAGTGAGAGTGCGACGAGGGGCGGTGGGAACGCTACTGGTCAGGTGGTAAGTGAGAACCGGTGAAGAGCAAACTTGAGTTGTTCCCATTGTGATCAATATGCCATGAAGATCCAARGGAGCGTGGTGSGAGACCCGTCATGGCAGCACGGGCTCTTTACAGGGTGTTTGGAAAGCCATAATGAGAGAGTAACCCTGATGGAGAAAAGGGATTTTGTTGGTGTGATRATCTAGCTGGCACRTGACTTTGTCTAGACTCCCARGTCTTTAACAGTAGATTTGGTCYTGTGGATCAGATATCGATATTGGTGTTTTGCTTTTTGAGTGCTGTTAACSGAGGCASTGTAGGTAGCGGCACTTCGGAGCCAGTGTGAGTGCGCTACTGGCAGTGGTGGGAACGCTCCTTTTTTGTAGTTAGCATAAATAGGGTAGGAAGCAAACTTGAACTGTATCCATAGTGATCTTGGTCTGTTGATCAACATTGTCACTGAAGATCCAAGGGTGCCTGGTGGGAAACCCGTCTTGGCKGTTCAGGCTTCCTTCAGTTTACAGATCCGTACTTGGTCTCTTTTCTGTAAGATCTTGAAGCGAAGCTGAGTAAGGCTCCCAGAGAGATTAGCAGGAATATGAATTCTTCAGTGGTTCTTGGCTGTTTTGATCCCTTTATTCTGGATTCCTAAAAGTTTTGCTCCAGTTGCTCACTTTCTTTGTAGTTGCAGACCATGGGACGCTGGATTGAGATGTTGAGGGATTCCCGCCTCATTCAATTGTTTTTATAATATAAGCTGCGACTTGTGCAAAAACAATAAAATTAAAAAAAAAAAAAAAAACAATAAAAAATAATAATAATAATAAAAATTGGTCTTTGCCGCACTACTCTCCAAATGTGCAAAACGAGACTGAATCCACCGCTAGAACATGGACAGATCCATTGCCTTCTTTTCTGTCGTTTGTGCACGTTGAGAGTAGTGCAGCTACGCCCATTTGTGTCTGTAGGCCCGTCGGTGTGTGGGACGGCTTCGTCGAGATCTCCTCCTCCTCCTCCCCCTCCTCCTCCTCCTTGAAACATGCTCTTCCTTCTACCGTCCTCCCCAAAATAGAACCGTAATGTCCTTATTGTTGTACCGAGACCGAAAGGTAGCCCAAATGCAGGCATACCTACCGTCTCTTCTATTCAGGGGACGACGCGGTTGCTCTCCGCCGTCTTCACTTCCTCTACCGGAGTTGAACGGTAATCGCATAGCTCTCCTGAATTTGTCCGGACGCGCGTGGGCGGCCATGCCCGTCCGAGGAGCTGTCTACGAAAAAAGGCCCGTCGTGTTGTCCCATTCCCGCGAAGTCCTCAGAGATGATTACCTGAGCTGCATGCACATGCAAGTGTCGGGTCGGATACGAGGTCACATCCGGACGATTGAAACGATGCTAAGGGCCAATGTGACCTCGTGGGCTCTGCAACTTTTTTTTTTTTTTTTCCTTTCTATATTCTTCTCTCAACTTCTGTTGCTTTTAG